GAGGGGTGAGACCTCCGATTGGCGTGAAGTCACCAGTGGAGTCCCATAGGGCTCTGTACTCTGTCCTATCTTGTTTCTGATATATGTAAATGATCTCCCGGAGGGTATCGATTCATTTCTCTCAATGTTTGCGGACGATGCTAAAATTATGAGAAGGATTAAAACAGAAGAGGACTGTTTGAGGCTTCAAGAAGACCTAGACAAGCTGAAGGAATGGTCGAACAAATGGTTGTTAGAGTTTAACCCAACCAAATGTAATGTAATGAAGAAGGTGTAGGGAGCAGGAGGCCAGATACAAGGTATCATCTGGGAGAGGAAATTCTTCAGGAGTCAGAGAAGGAAAAAGACTTGGGGGTTGATATCACGCCAGACCTGTCTCCTGCAGCACATATCAAGCGGATAACATCAGCGGCATATGCCAGGCTGGCCAACATACGAACGGCATTCAGAAACTTGTGTAAAGAATCATCCTCAACTTTGTATACCACATATGTCAGGCCAATCCTGGAGTATGCAGCCCCAGCATGGAGTTCATATCTAGTCAAGGATAAGACTAAACTGGAAAAGGTTCAAAGGTTTGCCACCAGACTAGTACCCGAGCTGAGAGGTATGAGCTACGAGGAGAGACTACGGAAATTAAACCTCACTTCGCTGGAAGACAGAGGAGTTAGGGGGGACATGATCACCACATTCAAGATTCTCAAGGGAATTGATAGGGTAGATAAAGACAGTCTATTTAACACAAGGGGAACACGCACAAGGGGACACAGGTGGAAACTGAGTGCCCAAATGAGCCACAGAGATATTAGAAAGAACTTTTTTAGTGTCAGAGTGGTTGACAAATGGAATGCATTAGGAAGTGATGTGGTGGAGGCTGACTCCATACACAGTTTCAAGTGTAGATATGATAGAGCCCAATAGGCTCAGGAATCTGTACACCTGTTGATTGACGGTTGAGAGGCAGGACCAAAGAGCCAGAGCTCAACCCCCGCTAGCACAATTAGGTGAGTACACACACACACACCATTTCCTACGAAAGGTAAAGCTAATCTCTCAAGCATTTCCCACGCTTTATCCTTCTTTATCACGTATTTCCTCCTTCATCTTGTCTAACGCAGCGCCTTGTGGCCGCGCTCTCTCTCTCTCTCTCTCTCTCTCTCTCTCTCTCTCTCTCTCTCTCTCTCTCTCTCTCTCTCTCTCTCTCTCTCTCTCTCTCTCTCTCTCTCTCTCTCTCGTCTTCCGCCTCTCCTCTCATGACCTGGCCAACTATGTCGCACTGACGTAGCAGTTCAAGGGGGCCCGGGTTCGAGACCCGCTGAGAAGGCTCTGCTATATTTAACTCTTTGATGTGGACGCCAGAGACCTAAACCGCGTCCCAAATGTCCGGTTAACCCAGACACAGCCGGGCCTGCCTGACTGAGCGGCCCCCCCTCAGTCCTCGGTTACTGGAGCCCTGTGTACCTGTGTGTACCCGTGTGTACCTGTGTGTATCCTGTGTGTATCCTGTGTGTATCCTGTGTACCGTGTGTATCCTGTGTGTACCGTGTGTACCTGTGTGTATCCTGTGTGTATCCTGTGTGTATCCTGTGTACCGTGTGTATCCTGTGTGTACCGTGTGTATCCTGTGTGTATCCTGTGTGTATCCTGTGTGTATCCTGTGTACCGTGTGTATCCTGTGTGTACCGTGTGTATCCTGTGTGTATCCTGTGTGTATCCTGTGTACCGTGTGTATCCTGTGTGTACCGTGTGTACCTGTGTGTATCCTGTGTGTATCCTGTGTGTACCCTGTGTACCTGTGTGTACCCTGAGTACCTGTGTGTATCCTGTGTTCCGTGTGTACCTGTGTGTATCCTGAGTACCCTGTGTACCTGTGTGTACCGTGTGTACCTGTGTGTATCCTGAGTACCCTGTGTACCTGTGTGTACCGTGTGTACCTGTGTGTATCCTGAGTACCCTGTGTACCTGTGTGTTCCGTGTGTACCTGTGTGTATCCTGTGTACCTGTGTGTACCGTGTGTACCTGTGTGTATCCTGAGTACCCTGTGTACCTGTGTGTACCGTGTGTACCTGTGTGTATCCTGTGTTCCGTGTGTACCTGTGTGTACCGTGTGTACCTGTGTGTATCCTGAGTACCCTGTGTACCTGTGTGTACCGTGTGTACCTGTGTGTATCCTGAGTACCGTGTGTACCTGTGTTCCGTGTGTACCTGTGTGTATCCTGTGTACCTGTGTGTACCGTGTGTACCTGTGTGTGTATCCTGAGTACCGTGTGTACCTGTGTTCCGTGTGTACCTGTGTGTATCCTGAGTACCGTGTGTACCTGTGTTCCGTGTGTACCTGTGTGTATCCTGACTACCGTGTGTACCTGTGTGTACTCTGTGTATCGTGAGTATCTTGTGTAGGCCACTACCCCTGACCCTTGTTTGTCAGACTGTTACTGTGGCCATACAACTGTTACTGTGGCCATACAGCTGTTACTGTGGCCATACAACTGTTACTGTGGCCATACAGCTGTTACTGTGGCCATACAACTGTTACTGTGGTCATACAACTGTTACTGTGGCCATACAGCTGTTACTGTGGCCATACAACTGTTACTGTGGCCATACAGCTGTTACTGTGGCCATACAGCTGTTACTGTGGCCATACAACTGTTACTGTGGCCATACAACTGTTACTGTGGCCATACAGCTGTTACTGTGGCCATACAGCTGTTACTGTGGCCATACAACTGTTACTGTGGCCATACAACTGTTACTGTGGTCGTACAGCTGTTACTGTGGTCGTACAGCTGTTACTGTGGTCATACAACTGTTACTGTGGCCATACAACTGTTACTGTGGTCATACAACTGTTACTGTGGTCGTACAGCTGTTACTGTGGCCATACAGCTGTTACTGTGGCCATACAACTGTTACTGTGGCCATACAACTGTTACTGTGGTCGTACAGCTGTTACTGTGGTCATACAGCTGTTACTGTGGTCATACAGCTGTTACTGTGGTCATACAACTGTTACTGTGGTCATACAACTGTTACTGTGGTCGTACAGCTGTTACTGTGGTCATACAGCTGTTACTGTGGTCATACAGCTGTTACTGTGGTCGTACAGCTGTCACGGTGGTCATACAGCTGTTACTGTGGTCATACAGCTGTTACTGTGGTCGTACAACTGTTACTGTGGTCATACAGCTGTTACTGTGGTCATACAGCTGTTACTGTGGTCATACAACTGTTACTGTGGTCATACAGCTGTTACTGTGGTCGTACAGCTGTTACTGTGGTCATACAGCTGTTACTGTGGTCATACAGCTGTTACTGTGGTCGTACAGCTGTCACGGTGGTCATACAGCTGTTACTGTGGTCATACAGCTGTTACTGTGGTCATACAACTGTTACTGTGGTCATACAACTGTTACTGTGGTCGTACAACTGTTACTGTGGTCGTACAGCTGTTACTGTGGTCATACAACTGTTACTGTGGTCATACAGCTGTTACTGTGGTCATACAGCTGTTACTGTGGTCATACAACTGTTACTGTGGTCATACAACTGTTACTGTGGTCGTACAGCTGTTACTGTGGTCATACAGCTGTTACTGTGGTCGTACAACTGTTACTGTGGTCATACAGCTGTTACTGTGGTCATACAGCTGTTACTGTGGTCATACAACTGTTACTGTGGTCATACAGCTGTTACTGTGGTCGTACAGCTGTTACTGTGGTCATACAGCTGTTACTGTGGTCATACAGCTGTTACTGTGGTCGTACAGCTGTCACGGTGGTCATACAGCTGTTACTGTGGTCGTACAGCTGTCACGGTGGCCATACAGCTGTTACTTTGGTCGTACAGCTGTCACGGTGGTCATACAGCTGTTACTGTGGTCGTACAGCTGTCACGGTGGCCATACAGCTGTTACTGTGGTCGTGTAACAAGCGCTGACGTGCTGCTGCGCATGTTGTCTGACTTAATAAAATCTATAATACGAAAATAAAGTTCATCTGTGATATTTGCTTTATTTTTCAGTTTGATTTGGTTTTGGTTTATCCAGCGACTTTAACCCTGAGGTCCTTGGGTTATCCAGCGACTTTAACCCTGAGGTCCTTGGGTTATCCAGCGACTTTAACCCTGAGGTCCTTGGGTTATCCAGCGACTTTAACCCTGAGGTCCTTGGGTTATCCAGCGACTTTAACCCTGAGGTCCTTGGTTTATCCAGCGACTTTAACCCTGAGGTCCTATAACTGGGGGGAGGAGGCCTGTACTAGGGGGGGGGCCATGGGCACTAAATATTAAGGGATATGGGGCTCGATCTTTGAACTGCTCCCTCACACACTAAATAAAAAATAAACCAATGTTTTGATTATACAAAATAGATCAGGACTCACTAGCTATCCAGACGCTAAGTAGAAGCAAAGCTATTGACATTATCTATTGCTAATAGCTAATAGAACCGGTGGGAGGGAGGGAGGGAGGGAGGTGTTCTCTGGTATGGGGAAAGGGGGTTATGTTGTGTATATCCAGTTGGGATCTGTAATAAGTTAAGAAAAAACATGATCAGACAGTTAAGTTGTTTGACTAGATCATATGAGTCTCTTTCAACTCCATCTCTGACCTCTCGTTTGTCTTGTTAAAGGCTTTGAATATTGTTTCTGTATCAGTTCTCTTTAGAATCCTGTATGTCGCTGTCATGTCTTCCCTATTCCGTATCTTCTCTAGTGTGGGGAGGCTCTTAGTTATTAGACTTTAACTCTTAGATTCTTCAGCTCAAGAACGAACATATATAGCAAATCCCACTGTATTGTATATCATTGTATTCTATCCCATTGTATTGTCGTATTGTATTCCACTGTATTGTATCACATTGCATTGTGCCCCATTGCATCCCAATGAATCATATGTCAAAGTCATCATATACTGCTCCCCATATATCAGAAGTAAACAGTATCATCATTAAACCCATCACGTATTCTCATATCTTCAGGAAATTATTAAAATACATAAACATTCATAGTTAATTTATTAAATATTAAGAATAATGTTATAAATATATGTACATAGTAAATCTATACATGGATGAGTGTTGATGAATATGACTATCACAGATGAAGGTGGCGTCACCGGCGGTGAGGTCACAGGTCAGCTTGGGGCGTGACCCTGAGGGCTGAGGGCGAGGTCACACAGTCCTCGCTGTAGGGGAGAACCTGAAGGTGTTTTCCTTGTCGTCTGTCGGAGGTCTGGCTATGGAGGAGGAGAGGTCGATGGGCTCGCTCGAGTCGTACTTGGAGAGGGAGTTCACGGCGTCGTAGATACCTTGGTTGTAGTGTGGTGGAAGTGGTTGTAGGAGGTCCTGAGGCTGGAGGGCGTGTATGTAGGGCGCGGGGGCAGGGTAGAGAGGCGTGGGCACGCTCAGATTGAGGGCGAGGGCCGCTGAGTAGAGGTTGTGGTGGTGCGGTGGTAGAGCAGCAGGTACGCAGGTGGGGTACATGGCGGATGGTACCCCGCCCAGGCCGTGGTGCAGGTGGGCGTGGTACTGGCCCGCGGCCACTGGCGACAGGAAGGGTTGTATAGGCGCGGGTTCGGGCGTGGGGCGGGCGTCGCTGGTGGCCAGGTTCTCGATGGTGAAAGCTTGGCGCTTGGGCGGCGTGGGCGCTGAGAGGGCGGGCGTGTTGGCCATGGGGCCCGCACTCTCCATTTGGTGTCCTGCATACTCCATTTGGTGGCCCATTTGGCCCGCACACTCCATGTGAAGACCCGTACACTCCATATGGTGGCCCAGGTGGCCCCCACACTCAAAGTGATGGCCCAACTCCTGAGCGATGTGGCCCAAATCACGAGGAACTCCTACGGGAAGGTCTTCAGGATGCTGAACTCCGTTGAAGGGCGTCATGCCGACATTGATGGCGTCCTTCTCGTCCCTGGGTATCTTGAACCTCTTCCTGCGGCGGAGGAAGCTGCCGTTCTCGAACATATTCATGGCGGACGGGTGTAGAGTCCAGTAGGCGCCCTTGCCGGGCCTGTCTGGCCGGCGGGGTATCTTGATGAAGCAGTCGTTGAAGGAGAGGTTGTGGCGCAGGGAGTTCTGCCAGCGCTGAGTGTTCTTGCGGTAGTAGGGGAAGTTGTCCATAATAAACTTGTAGATCTCTGCCAGCGTGCACATCTTCTCCGGGCTGTTCCAGATGGCCATGGCCGTCAGGGAGATGTACGAGTACGGCGGCTTCTGATCCCCGTAACTCTCACGTGAAGGACGCGGCATTCTGTATGGTCAGCACAAAACTATCCCGACAGGTTCACTTGGGATAAGATTCCAATGTAGAGTCTATGTGCTATGTGTTCACGAGGCTGCGACTCGAGCTAAGCACAGCTGTGCTGGAAGTGTGTAAGACCCGCCAACTTCACACCTTTAAGTCACAGGAGCTGTCGACACCTGGCCAATGGCCGGCCAGCACCATCACTATTGGTCTTTCTGATTGGTCTGATAGCCGGAGGGCGGGGCGGACCCCGAGTTTTTGCTCTGCTGAATGGACAAGGGCGGTGGGGGGCGGGGCGTCCGCTGGCAGGACTTGCCGCGCGCGGGATATTTTATGTTTACACAGCTGACTATATATTTCACCTATCACATTCCCTCTAAAAATCTATTGTTATCCAAGTTGCGTTCTCATTGGCGAAAATTAACCATGAACGAGAAAACGCTACTATGACAAGACGTATATATGTAAACTACTTGAAAATGCCACTTGTAAAGAATAGACTTGGCTTGTATAAAACCTTCCAACTATACAACTCGTGCCAATAAGCTAAAATAAATTTTTTATTTAAACATTTAAGATCAAATTTTCGAAGATTTATTTAAATAAATGTAATCAATATATTTGAACAGAATACGCATTTCTTTTTTTACATTTGAGTTCAACTACAGAACAGTTAGCAGCCTCGTAAATTAGCAGTCTTGCCTGAATGTGCCTTTTATTCCCAAACGATCTAAGTACAGTGTTGTAAAATACGTGAAACAAATTGGTAAATAATGCAATTAATGTAGTTTTATTTGATGAAAATGTAGCCAACTTAAGAAAAAAAATAATATATATATATATATATATATATATATATATATATATATATATATATATATATATATATATATATATATATATAAAATAAAAAAAAAAAAAAATATATATATATATATATATATATATATAAAAAAAAAATATATAATATAAATATATATAAATATATATATATATATATATATATATATATATATATATATGTATATATGTGTGTAATATTGCTCCCCTACTCGACGTAAATACGAAGACATTACTGCAGTTCAATATCTAGTTGGAACAACAAATTAGAGGGAGGGAAGTCTTTAGACAAGCCACTGGCTTCATGTCCCCGTTGAAGTCACTAGACACAGAAAGAGGGATTGGTCCTCGTGTAAATTCAGGTGGATAGGAACAGAACGAGGTATGTTAGAGCAAGCCAGGTGGAGCACGAGAACTATTAATTGGCTTGAACCATCAAAGCCTCGTACGCGCTCCCACCATCATCATTCACTCCAATAAATCTACCACTTACTCATACTCATAATACTCATGCTTGTGCCACCTCTTGTGGTGGCTTAACCTTCGTCGATCAGTCAAAGCCACACAGACCAGAACACGTGAATTGTTAGGACGTCAAAGCCAGGTGAATTAAAACACAAGAATGGCTTTGAACTGGACAACGAAGGAGAGGCTTGAGTGCCAGATAGAACAGAACAAACGAATAGATTTGGGCGAGAAAGTTAGGTGGAGCCAACAAGAGAACAAATAAATAACTTAATCTGAAAGCCAGATTGAACAAAGAACAGGTTTAAATGACTCGGATCCCCCAAGCCAACACGGGAACTGGCGGGAATCATCTTGAAGGGATGATTCCACCATTCACCAGATGAACCCAAGACACCAGATGAAGGGATCAAGTCACCATTCGGAGGAGAACTAGTCGACAAATGCTAATGATGTTGTTAATGGTGATCATTGTGGTGTTGAAGGGGCCCTATAGTGTTCCTCTCTCCGGCCTGTTGGAACGGGCTGCTCCCCCCCCCCCCTCCCCCATCCGGCTATCCGAATAGGATAGCCAGATTCCAGCCAGATTTCTCCCGTTTACCAGATTATTTCTTTAACATTGAAAGCTCACGCATACACGCAAAGGGACATACAGTTAATAATACAGTATACACAATACACGCATACACAAGCAAGCCCAAATCCCCCCCCCCCCCCCCACCCTTCAAGACGTCAGGAACACCTGGTCGCCAATTCCCCAGACACTGGGAACGTTTAAGACGAGGGTCCCGAGTTGAACAATGATGGGCGGGAGAGAGCAAGTCGTTTGCTCCCTCAGACGGTCACTTACGGCGGGTCAAAGAGACCCGGTTGGGGTCACCGTGGGGGGGGGGGAGTGGAAGGTCAGGTTCACACCTTCACCTGTGACATGGACCTCGCGCCTCACAACCCCAGCTGAGTCCCCAGCACGTGGCTGTTTGTGGGTGTGTGTGTTTGTGGTGTGTGTGTGTTTGTGGTGTGTGTGTTTGGGGGGGGATGTTTGGGGCTTGTGTGTGTGTTTGTGGTGTGTGTGTGTTTGGGGGGGGGGTTGTTTGGGGCTTGTGTGTGTGTTTGGGGGTGTGGTGTGTGTGTTTGGGGCGTGTGTGTGTGTTTGGGGTGTGTGTGTGTGTGTTTGGGGCGTGTGTGTGTGTGTTTGTGGTGTGTGTGTTTGGGGGGGGTGTGTTTGGGGCTTGTGTGTGTGTTTGGGGCGTGTGTTTGGGGGGTGTGATGTTTGGGGCGTGTGTGTGTGTTTGGGGGGGGCGTGTGTGTGTGTTTTTGGGCTTATGTGTGTGTTTGGGGCGTGTGTGTGTGTGTTTGGGGCGTGTGTGTGTGTGTTTGGGGCGTGTGTGTGTGTGTGTGTGTTTTTGGGGTGTGTGTGTGTTTGGGGCGCATGTGTGTTTGGGGCTTGTGTGTGTGTTTGGGGCTTATGTGTGTGTTTGGGGCGTGTGTGTGTGTGTGTTTGGGGCGTGTGTGTGTGTGTTTGGGGCGTGTGTGTGTTTGGGGCGTGTGTGTGTGTTTGGGGCGTGTGTGTGTGTGTTTGGGGCTTGTGTGTGTGTTTGGGGCTTATGTGTGTGTTTGGGGTGTGTGTGTGTGTGTGTGTTTGGGGCTTGTGTGTGTGTTTGGGGCTTATGTGTGTGTTTGGGGTGTGTGTGTGTGTGTTTGGGGCGTGTGTGTGTGTGTTTGGGGCTTGTGTGTGTGTTTGGGGCTTATGTGTGTGTTTGGGGCGTGTGTGTGTGTGTGTGTGTTTGGGGCGTGTGTGTGTTTGGGGCGTGTGTGTGTTTTGGGGGGTGTGTGTGTGTGTGTGTGTTTGGGACGTGTGTGTGTGTTTGGGGCGTGTGTGTGTGTTTGGGGCGTGTGTGTGTGTGTGTTTGGGACGTGTGTGTGTGTTTGGGGCGTGTGTGTGTTTTTGGGGGGTGTGTGTGTGTGTTTTGGGGCGTGTGTGTGTGTTTGGGGTGTGTGTGTTTGGGGGTGTGTGTGTGTTTTGGGGGCGTGTGTGTGTGTTTGGGGGCGTGTGTGTGTGTTTGGGGGCGTGTGTGTGTGTTTGGGGGCGTGTGTGTGTGTTTGGGGGCGTGTGTGTGTGTTTGGGGCGTGTGTGTGTGTTTGGGGTGTGTGTGTGTTTGGGGCGTGTGTGTGTGTTTGGGGCGTGTGTGTGTGTTTTGGGGCGTGTGTGTGTGTTTGGGGCGTGTGTGTGTGTTTGGGGTGTGTGTTGTGGGGGCGTGTGTTTGGGGCGTGTGTGTGTGTTTGGGGGCGTGTGTGTGTGTTTGGGACGTGTGTGTGTATGTTTGGGGCGTGTGTGTGTTTGGGACGTGTGTGTGTGTGTTTGGGGCGTGTGTGTGTGTGTTTGGGGCGTGTGTGTGTTTGGGACGTGTGTGTGTATGTTTGGGGCGTGTGTGTGTGTGTTTGGGGCGTGTGTGTGTGTTTGGGGTGTGTGTGTGTGTTTGGGGTGTGTGTGTGTTTGTGACGTGTGTGTGTATGTTTGGGGCGTGTGTGTGTGTGTGTTTGGTGTGTGTGTGTGTGTTTGGGGTGTGTGTGTGTTTGGGGCGTGTGTGTGTGTGTTTGGTGTGTGTGTGTTTGGGGCGTGTGTGTGTTTGGTGTGTGTGTGTGTCTTTGGGGTGTGTGTGTGTGTTTGGTGTGTGTGTGTGTGTGTTTGGGGCGTGTGGGGGTGTTTGGGGGCGTGTGTGTTTGGAGCTCAGGTCCAGGGAGCGGTTTTTTTTGGGGGGAGAGGGATGAATGAATCGGATATGAGAGGGGGGGGGTGTTGGGTTTCGATTTGGTGTTGTGTGTTCAGTTAATTCTGTTTGCGGAGGTTGAGGGGCTCGGTTCATTGGTCCCGTGTCATAGGTCTCAATCAACCGGTGTACAGGTTTCTGAGCCTATTGCGCGCTCTGTCATGTCTACGTGTGTGGGGGTGTACTCACCTAATTGTACTCGCCTAATTGTGCTTGCGGGGGTTGAGCTTTCGCTCTTTGGTCCCGCCTCTCAACCGTCAATCAACTGGTGTACAGATTTCTGAGCCTACTGGGCTCTATCATATCTATATTTGAAACTGTGTATGGAGTCAGCCTCCACCACATTACTGCGTAATGCATTCCATCGTTTAATTACTCTGACACTGAAAAAGTTCTTTCTAACGTCTCTGTGGCTCATGTGGGTACTCAGTTTCCACCTGTGTCCCCTTGTTCGCGTCCCACCAGTGTTGAATAGTTTATCCTTGTTTACCCGGTCGATTCCTCTGAGGATTTTGTAGGTTGTGATCATGTCTCCCCTCACTCTTCTGTCTTCCAGTGTCGTAAGGTGCATTTCCCGCAGCCTTTCCTCGTAACTCATGCCTCTTAGTTCTGGGACTAGTCTAGTGGCATACCTTTGGACTTTTTCCAGCTTCATCTTGTGCTTGAGAAGGTACGGGCTCCATGCTGGGGCCGCATACTCCAGGTTTGGTCTTACATATGTGGTATACAAGATTCTGAATGATTCCTTACACAGGTACACACGTACACACACACACACACACACACACACACACACACACACACACACACACACACACACACACACACACACACAGGCTGAGTGTGTGTGTGTACACTTACCTGGTTGTACTTAACGGAGCTAAGTGCTGGTTTTTATTATCTATCCATTACTCTAGGGAAGTACGGAAGTGCATATCACTGTCTCATCTAAGTCTCCAGTATCTACCCATGCCTCCGTTTGCCCCATTGTATACTCTAACCATGCCCTCGGCCCATGGCCTACTATGCCCATGCCCTCCACTGCCCATGGCATACTCTACCCACGCCCTCTCCTCTATCAGTGCCCTCCTCTTCCCATGCTCTCTTAGGCTTGCTGTTTTAAACGAGAGAATAAAGGGCTACAGAAATGA